AAATTTGGAAAATATACATATATATGTGTGTGTGTGTGTGTATATATATATATATATATATGTTACATGAATTTTATTCTGCAAAATCACCATTTTATGATAGGAAACCATATTTATCTGAAGTTTTTAAGCCTATGGAGACGAGGTAGGATAAGAAATATTTTGTCAAGAATGATACTGCAGGGCCGGGGAGATAGCTCAGTAAAATAAGCTCTTGCCTGGCAAGCGCAAGGCCCTGAGTTCAATCCCGGGTACTGAGAAAAAAAAAAAAAAAAAAAGATAGTGCAGATTTTCCCATGGTATTTTTGAGAAAAAAAAAAAAAGAGTGCATTACTTAACTCTCAATCACAGCTCTATGGAGTAGAATTTGTGCGAAGAAATTAACTTTTGCTTATAAAAAGTAAACCTGGTCTTTAAGTAGCGACTGCACAATTAGACATTTTTAATGGCTCGTAGCACACATTTTGAACTCATGCTGTGCCATCTTGCTAAGCATCCAAGATTACATAGTTGTGCATGTTGGTGATGCAAGGTGCACTTCATTTTAATGGCTTCCTCTTGGCAATTAAAACACTTGATTCCTGTGTATCCAGGAATTTTTTTAAGTGCCACATGAATAGCAGGGGATGCTACAAACAAGAACGGTCATCCCATTCTCTGCTTCTCATATAAAGACAGCTTACTGCATCAATTTTGAAAGCAGGTGAAGAAATACTTGTGCTGGAGTGCTCTGAACTAGCCACTCTTACAGCTTTTAGAATATTTTCTGGTGTTAAAGATGAAATATAGTTTCTATAGGAGATTTAGTTTTTAAAAGTTGACTTATTGTCCAAAAGGTGGGACATCATTAGAAACATACACTGTCGCAGTATGGATTTAATTGGACCACTGTTATATTTTACCAAGCTCGGCCCCCGCTCCAGTCATCTTCACGTTGTGCTGTTTCCTGCTAGCACTGTCCTACGCCTCCTCCACATTCTCGTCCTCTCCTCCCCCACCCTTCACCCCGTGAATCGTCTTCCTGGGAAGAGAAGTGGTCACCAGTGTACAGCCTTCACCTTGCTTGGGCCATTGTCACTCATCTTTGTAGGGCGATTGTTTTTTTTTTTTTTTTCTTCAAAGTTTTATTGATAAACAGATAGCAATGAGACAGTTTCAAATGAAATTGGAAGTACAGTTTCAACAAATAATACACTGCATATATTCTTCTTAG